GTTTCCGGCCCTTCCCCCGTATTGTCGTTTTGCCTGCCTCTTGAGGTGATTGGCAGGTGTGAAATAGCACAACAGCTCATGTGTCATCGAAACAATGTCAGACCTTCTCAGTGTCGATCCAAGGTATCCGATTCAGCATTCAATCACTCGCTCACTTCTGAAAACCTTTTGAGATGTAAAATTGACCCACAAAAGCATTACACACCTTTATTTTGTCACTTGTAACTAGGGCTGCATGATAAGGGTTAAACAGTTAATCATGATTATTTTGCTCAGAACATTTTACATGTTTTTTTTTTTTACATTTCATCAGTTATTGTACTGAAACATAACCACAAATCAAGAAAACATCAACTCGCAACAAACAGCACAAATGAGTGCATAAAGAAAACACTGACTGTATTACACTTTTATTTGAGCAGAAGATCTCAATAGCGATTGCTAAACTCCAGCTTACATGTTTGTCTGTGTTTTCAACTCATCAGCGCTTTTTCCGTAATGCAGAGAGAGTGTGTGCCAGGTTGGAAAGATTAAGTAAGCCTCTGGACAGAAAACGTATCAATTTATGAAAAATCTCTGATTGTGGGATTTTACCTCTTGACATCTGGCAACCCCAACCATGAAAGCTTGTGAAGGCTTGTTATGCAATATAATTCAAATGGCAAATTAAAATAAAGTACCTCTAGGATAAATAATCAGTGGGCAATTATCACAGACGATTATGCTAATGCAATCACAATTAAAATGGGATTTATCCTGCAGCCCTACTAGTAACATGATTGTATGTTACATGTGTGTGTAATTATTTCTGTGCCCATTTCTTGGGAAACTCATCAACATTCCTGAATTCAAATGGGGATGCAAATGCTTGTTTATATTCTCCCTTATCGGTTGTTTATTATGTTTATTTTTGTCTTGCTGTAATGTCAGTCAGTACTTCACTAAATTTACCAGCAATTTATCACCAAATTTCTGACGCCACATTTAAGGCCTAAAATCAGTTGAAGTTGAACATTCACATCCAACCAACTCTTTACTGGTACATTTCTCTACCCTGCGTTTGAGGAAATGTCAGACGGCTTTGCCTCCACCCGCTTTAAACAGATAAACAGATGTGTTTCTAAAGTATGAGGGAGGGGGCTATCAGCAGAATTTGGGGTAAAAGTATCTATTGCTTTATCTATTGTTGAAAGCTAAAGGCCCTTTAGGGGTAGATCTCAGAATGAGAGTTGGATTCTTAATGATTGGTCCCTCTTAACCTGATATATATATATATATTAGGGCTGCAATATTTGCCCACTGGTTATTTATTCTGAAAACATTTAATTCTTAATTGGCATTTGTGTTGTCTTGCATCGGTAACAAACCACCACAAGCTTTGTGGTTGCCAGATTCAAAGAGTTAAAATCCCCCCAACCTGATCTTTTTTCATAAATCGATACATATTCTGCCCAGTGGTTTACTTAATCTTCCCAACCTGGCAACCATGCACACACCTGCTCTGTACATTATGGAAAAAAGTGCTCATGAGCTAAAAACTCCAGCAAACATGGAAGTTTGAGTTTAGTGATCTCTAATTAAATATTCTGCTCAAATGAAAGTGCAATAAAGTCTGTTTCCGTTCATGTGATCGTTTGCTCTGTTGGCTGCGACTAAATCTGTAATGTGCTCGTGATTTGTGCTTATGTGAAAAAGCAATAATTCAGATGAAATGCAAAAAAAAATAAAAGATATATCTTTATAATTTTTATATATATATATATATATATATATATATATATCACTGTTTGACAACAGTATCAGAGTTGGGAATCAAGAATTTCAACAAAAAAACACTGCATTCGTTTTTTAAACACTGCATTCCACCAATTCTGATAAAACACATGTTTGCAAGAGGTAGAAAATGTTTCCCACTTGTCTGTTGTGACATCATTTTAAAAAAAATGGCAACGGCTTCAACAATTAATCACACATTTTACATTTGATATCTCATTTTGTAGCTGTACGCATTGTTGCGCTTTCTTTATTTTCCAGTACATTGCTAGAGGCAAAGTCATTACGTCATTCACACCAGAATATAGCACTGAATTCATTTTGTAATTATGGTTTATTTACCACAAGACCTGAATGTGGCATAAAGTCCTCTAATGGTGTTTCTTGCATTGCTATTCTGATTCACAAACAAATGACTCTGAGCCAGTTTTTTTTTTTTTTTTTATGAATCAGTCTGAAAGATTTAACGTGTTGTAATATCAGACTGGCTCATTCACACAGTCTTTTGATAATCAAGGCATTACTTTTGTGATGTCTACTTCTCAAAGTATTTTTTGAGACAAATAAGTTAAATTCCCTATGATTCTTCCTTAAGGATTACACTGAGGTAAAAAAAAATGTCATGAAGTGTCTATAATCGGCTCCCTGCTGGGTGACTGGTTTTGAACACTGGTAAAAGGGATACTGATGGTAGAATTATGGATAAAAGGAAATAAGGGTGGGGGCTGAGTACCCTTCAGAAAATAGAGAAGAGGAAGGTCATTTGAGAGATTTACAGTGTGGCACTCCTCTAAAACACATACATCCTGTAATTAACCCTCCACTGGCCCCCAGCGTTTCCTCAGACCCTCCCCCTGAGTAAGAGCTCTCTGCTGCTAATGAGAGATCAGGAACACTGGAAGAAAGCAAGAAGGAAAGAGAAAGAAGGAGCAATTTAACCCGTTGCTCAGCTACCAGCACTGTTTTTCTGCCTGTGCGTGATTAAATAGCGAGACCTTTTTGGCACATGAGGCTTCTGTTATCGTTCAGATCCTTCAGCCTTTCACACGTTTGTTAGATATGTTGCGTTAATTAAAACTAAAGATCCAAATTTTACATTACATTTTTTTAATGTGATAATTTATGAATCATCATAAAAGTAATAGTTCTGGTCTTCTGGAACACTAAGGGCTAGCTTGCTGAATGCTGGCTGCATATTGCATGCTTTTGCATTATGCAATGAAAACCGTTCCAAAGTATAGTGTGCTGTATTGTTATCACTTGGCCTCACTACATTTGTCAAATCACCTCATCACATTGCATGTTTAATTCAGCAAGTTATCATTTTTGTTGGCCTGCATTTTATGGACACTATTTTTGAAAATAATAATAAATAATTACAAGGTTTATTTATTATTTATATAGCACCTTTCATATGTAAAATGTATAATTACATTAAAATTAAATTAAAATAATTCTAACATGTAATTTTATATACATACATATATATATATATATAGAGAGAGAGAGAGAGAGAGAGAGAGAGAGAGAGAGAGAGAGAGAGAGAGAGAGAGAGAGAGAGAGAGAGAGAGAGAGAGAGAGAGAGAGAGAGAGAGAGAGAGAGAGAGAGAGAGAGAGAGAGAGAGAGAGAGAGAGAGAGAGAGAGAGAGAGAGAGAGAGAGAGAGAGAGAGAGAGAGAGAGAGAGAGAGAGAGAGAGAGAGAGAGAGAGAGAGAGAGAGAGAGAGAGAGAGAGAGAGAGAGAGAGAGAGAGAGAGAGAGAGAGAGAGAGAGAGAGAGAGAGAGAGAGAGAGAGAGAGAGAGAGAGAGAGAGAGAGAGAGAGAGAGAGAGAGAGAGAGAGAGAGAGAGAGAGAGAGAGAGAGAGAGAGAGAGAGAGAGAGAGAGAGAGAGAGAGAGAGAGAGAGAGAGAGAGAGAGAGAGAGAGAGAGAGAGAGAGAGAGAGAGAGAGAGAGAGAGAGAGAGAGAGAGAGAGAGAGAGAGAGAGAGAGAGAGAGAGAGAGAGAGAGAGAGAGAGAGAGAGAGAGAGAGAGAGAGAGAGAGAGAGAGAGAGAGAGAGAGAGAGAGAGAGAGAGAGAGAGAGAGAGAGAGAGAGAGAGAGAGAGAGAGAGAGAGAGAGAGAGAGAGAGAGAGAGAGAGAGAGAGAGAGAGAGAGAGAGAGAGAGAGAGAGAGAGAGAGAGAGAGAGAGAGAGAGAGAGAGAGAGAGAGAGAGAGAGAGAGAGAGAGAGAGAGAGAGAGAGAGAGAGAGAGAGAGAGAGAGAGAGAGAGAGAGAGAGAGAGAGAGAGAGAGAGAGAGAGAGAGAGAGAGAGAGAGAGAGAGAGAGAGAGAGAGAGAGAGAGAGAGAGAGAGAGAGAGAGAGAGAGAGAGAGAGAGAGAGAGAGAGAGAGAGAGAGAGAGAGAGAGAGAGAGAGAGAGAGAGAGAGAGAGAGAGAGAGAGAGAGAGAGAGAGAGAGAGAGAGAGAGAGAGAGAGAGAGAGAGAGAGAGAGAGAGAGAGAGAGAGAGAGAGAGAGAGAGAGAGAGACGCACAATATATACTATATACACACACACACGCACAATTAAAAGTAACATTTTAAGTATTTATGTGATTTACATTTTTTTTAATTGAAAAATTCAATTCAGCAAGTTATCATTTTGGTTGGCCTGCATTTTCTGGATGTTATTTTTGAAAATAATAAATAATTATAAGATTAATTTATTATTTACATAATACCTTTCATATGTAAAATGTGTAATTATATAAAACAAATAATTTTAACATGTAATATATAATAACATATAATATTATGATGATATATATATATATATATGTATATGTATATGTATATTTAATTAAGATTTTTAATTAAATTTCACTCAATAATGCACAAAACCTGCAAATCACCCCTTATTTAACACCTTAATTTACAAATCAGGAACTATATCTGCTAATGAAAGAATTACATTTAATTTTTCTTGTTAAATAGTGTTTTTATATGTGTCATTTATTTAGTTATTTATTTTATTAATTTATTGTGTAGTGACTCTTAGCAATAATGTACTCCGTGATAATGATTATGTTTTAAGCACTTGCTAGCTAACAGTTCTGTTTAGCACGACTTTTTCACAATATAGCACAGCCTCTTATATCTTATTGCTTATATAATGCAGTTCCTGATCCGGACATCAAGAGTGATGAGAACGCAGTTTTGTGCACTGCTCTTTTTAACGTGTGTTTTTCATATGCAGCTCTATGAACTAGACAGCGACCCGAAGAGGAAGGAGTTCCTGGATGATCTGTTCAGCTTTATGCAGAAGAGAGGTATTTATAAAGAAATAATTTTTTACGGATCAAGACATGTCCATATGTCATCTTCTAGAGACCTTTATGACCCCGACCTTTCCACATCAACACCCAGCTCATCTTTCACATCTCCACGGTGATGTTTGTGTATTTATATCGGAGCGCTGCAGTTTTCTCTCTTCATATCATGCTGAAGCAGGGCTGTGGCTCCCACAATCACATGTGTGTTTATAAACGTGGGAGTGCGAACACATGTCCATGTCATGATCCGGCCTTGAGACTGAAGCATGTGTTCCTGTTAAACCTGCTGCGCTGGCTGTGGAAAATGTCCTCCAACACCTGTTAAACCTTCTCCTGATGAATAAATTAATGACCTGGGAGAGAAATTTTATTAGCTATGTTGATTTATAGCACAAATGCATGTGTACGACAATCTGCTGCCTGGAGAAAAGCAACTCTGTAATTAAATAAAATAATAATTAAAAATTAAATGTTTATAATTATTTAAATAATTACATTTATTATTAAATTATATACACATGCATACATACATATATTATATATATATACATATATACATATACATACATACATGCATATAATTTTATATATAATTAAAAAAATTAAAATTACACTTATTATTATTTTATTGTTGAATGCATGTGTACAGCAATGCTGCCTGAAGAAAACTCTGGAATTAATAATTTCAAAAATAATAATAATTAAAATTGTATGAGTCATTCATTCATTCGATTAATTCAAAACGCGGATTCATTCAAAAATGAAACACCGCTGTATTGCTTGGAGACACGCACCAATTGACCGTTCGCAAAGACCCGCCCTCCTTGGTTACTGTTGCTATCCCCGACAAACATTGCCGCTCTCACAGTACACTACAAATCATGTTCTCACGCAGTGAAAAATACATCTCAGAGCAAAGAGGAACCTGACAACACACCGACAGACAAGACAGAAAATGGTTTAAAAAAGCACATGGCGCCATAGTTTCATCACTTTAGAGTGTCGCAGTGACCGTCTTTTTGCAGTAAAAGACTTGTCATATTTTAATGAGTGGGAAGATGACATGAAGTGACGCGAGGTTAACGTTAGCTGCATTGAAAACAGATGAGTGCACATGTGCATATACAGCTCCCGATCGGGGCGAAGTTCACGGGATTCTGTCCACAGAATGATAAGAGCACACGTTTTAACATACCATTTTATTATTTCACCCTCAGTATTTTAACTTTAGCGCTGCAAGACATGCATACAGCGCCGGACATGACCGGTTTTCTGGTACGCAAAACGAGTACTTTAAAGGAATTCCTTAGCTTATTACTGTTACTGTGGCAGCCAACAACAGCACAGATATCACTTACCCCACACATATTTATATTTAGTTATATTGAAAAAAGTTTCAATTCAGTTGATCTTTTTTACCCTGTTTTAACATGGATTTCTATGGAGTAGATGTCGGGTAAGATGGCGAATAGCAGTGGCGGCACATAATATCCGCGTTCTGATTGCTCAGATCGCCTGTCAGTCAAGCTCTTTGTGAACACTCGATTCTGCTTTGACTTTATAGGTAATATTTGCATTGGCCAAGTTGAGCAAAAACAGACAATATTGTGTTTAAAATATAACACAGTATTAACTTATTTATTGAACTGTTTTTTGCAGTCACCTTTGCACTCGTGCTATTCAGGACAAAATAAGCGACACTCGTGTGATATTGCTCTCACTGCTCGTTTGATATCACTTATCATATGATATAAATATAAGATGACGTACAGGTCTGGGGTCAGGGTCGGTGTGTTAAATGCGTTAAAGTATTTTAATCGCGTTATTTTTCATAAATTAATTGAGTTAACGTGTTAAACTGACAGCCCTAATATATAATTTATGTGTGTGTGTATGTATATATATATATATATATGTATGTGTGTATGTATATGTATGTATGTATGTGTGTGTGTGTGTGTGTGTGTGTGTGTGTGTGTGTGTGATACATGCTGTTCAAAAGTTTGGGATCAGTAGGATTTTTAATGTTTTGAATGGAGTCTCTTCTGCTCATCAAGGCTGTATTTATTTGATCAAAATACAGAAAAAACAGCAATATTGTGAAATATTATTGCAGTTTCTAATTATTATACTTTCCTATTATTATACTTTAAAATATAATTTATTTCTGTGAAGCAGCACTGTTTTTCCTGAATTTGTTTTGTGTCACATGATCCTTCAGCAATATATATTATAACAATACAAGTCTTTACTGTCACTTTTTATCCATTAAACATATCCTTGTTAAATAAAAGTATTAATTGCTTTAAAAATATACTGACCCTAAACTTTTGAATAGTATTGTATATTGTAACACAAAATAATTATTTTGAATGAACACTGTTGCTTTTAACTTTTTATTTATCAAAGAATCCTGAAAAAAGTATCACAGGTCCCAAAAAATATTAAGTGTTTCCAACATTGATTATAAATTAGCATATTAGAATGATTTCTGAAGGATCATGTGAAACTGAAGACTGGAGTAATGAAAACTCTTATTTTAATTTGCAATAATATTTCACAAAATTTAAAAATTTTTCTGTTTTTTTTTTTTCATCAAATAATTGCAGCATAGCACTTCGTTAAAAAGCATTAAAAAACTTACTGATCCCAAATTTTTGAATGGCACTGTATATATGTATACATATTCATACAAAATAAAATTATTATTAGGTATAATTTAATATATAATTTAAAAAATATATACATTATTATTAATATTTGGTGTATTTCTAGCACAGATGCATGTGTATGACAGTGTGCTGCGTAGGGAAAATCAGAAACTCCCAAATACAGACTAAAACAGGAGTGTCTTTGATTTGTAGCAGATACATTCAAACTGCTAAGACACTCAACGCAGCTGTTTGTTTTTGTGCAGGGACGCCAGTGAACAGGATTCCCATCATGGCCAAGCAGGTGCTGGACCTCTACATGCTGTACCAGCTGGTGACAGAGAAGGGGGGGCTGGTGGAGGTCATAAATAAAAAGTTGTGGAGGGAGATCACGAAGGGCCTGAACTTGCCGACCTCCATCACCAGCGCTGCCTTCACTCTCAGAACACAGTATGTACTCACCGACACCTTCACAGGAGAACTTATCTTTACTGTATTCTATAGAATTTAAAGGGATCGTAAAATTCATTTGGAAATTATTTTATAGTGTTTCCTGAATTGCACTCAGATGCTTAGTATGTTTTTTTTTTTTTTTTTTTCAAAACTGACATGAATTAGATATAAGTGGTTATTTTCTACCCTGAATTTTAAAAGTTTCACTGCATTTTACGGCCAGCCGCCAAGATTAACTGATAGTGAAGTGTTGAGTATAGCATTAGATTTAGAGCTACTCCGCAGGTGTAGGTTTATTGTTTTAAAGTTTAATCAGTAAAAACGTTTCTATCTTCTTTTTATTAATCTACAGCGATAGTTGGATGTCTTTGTCCATATTAGGGATTTCCTGGAGTGTCATAAGTGCTATTACTTCTGTGATGCACATTTTTAATTCACCGTGAATGCATAAAAGGCTCATATTTCATATGAAAGGCATGGACTCTATTTTTGATTTTGCATACCTTCTGACAAAAAAATAAGAAATTACTGTCACAGATTTGTATCATAATAGTATAATATTTTATAATAAAACATTATGATGTATAATTATAGGCTGTCTGTTCACAGGTAACCTTTTTCTTTAAATCAAATTATTATTGCTATTATTTTCTAATTATAATAGTTATATTATTTAATTTTTTATTTTTAATAATGAGAGTGTAATTACAACAGCAATATTTCTTTTTTTGTTTTTATTTTTTTATTTAGCAATAATAATATTCCGAATAATTATCATTAGTCATAATAATACGTAAGCACAAAATTTTGGTCCAAATCGTGCAGCCCTACAAACAAGCAAAACAAACTTGGTGTTCTTTATGCATTTCCCCCCATTTTTTTAAAGTGCATTTTAAATTGCAAATCACAATTTTACCCAGAAAAATCGCAATTAGATTTTTTCCCCCAAAATCGTGCAGCCCTATTCTGCAATCCCATATACTTTAATCATACGTAACACAGAGAAAACCTGATGTAAATAAGAGAATGTTGAGCAATGTAATGTTTGGTGGAAATGAAGAAATCAAATCAGCTATAGACTCGCATTGTGCTTGAATTGACTGCTCCAGTGATTTAATCGTTTTCTGTATATAAAATAATCACAATATAAATAACCAGTGGTTGTCACACAGCTAACAGTTGATGGGTTAGTCACCGGCTTGATTCACTAAGGCATAAACAGCAGTAAACCACTTTACTGAGACAAAGAATGTCTGTGCATGAGCCCTTAAATATTACTGATCACAGGGCATATGCATGAAATGCAGTTTCAAATTTTTTACATTACATTTCTCAGAATTAGTTTAGTTTGCAAAGTTTTTTGCATCAAAAGGTCTTTCTTTACCTGAAGCAGTATTGGTCTTGCAATCGATGGACAGATGTTTAAGTTTAATTTCGCACCCCTCTGCAGGTATATGAAGTATCTGTATCCTTACGAATGTGAGAAGAGGGGTCTCAGCAACCCCAACGAGCTGCAGGCGGCCATCGACAGCAACCGGCGAGAGGGACGCAGACATAGCTTTGGCAGCTCGCTCTTCACCTACTCACCCAACGGGACACCCACAATGCTCACCTCTCCCAAACTCTCCATGCCACCCATGGGCATCGCCCTGCCCAGCAATGGAGCCACGGTCTCATCCTTACATAAAATGAAGAAAGGTAAAACAACGCAGTGGGTCATGGTTACATAGTGATGGGTAGTAACTGATTACATGTAATCCAGATTACATAATCATATTCCAAAAGTAGAGTACTTGTAATTAGATTATATTACATTTTAAAATGCTCATAATCAGATTACAGTTACTTTTTTAATGGATTAGGCTACATCATGATTGCATCTTGTTCAAATAATAGCAGCAATTGTTCCGAATTCTTTTCTCTTTAAAATTTATCTTTTTTTTTTTTAATTCTACTTTGTGTCATATGATTTAGATATATTGAATGGCCGTGTAAATGTGAATTTGTGATCCGTGCTTATGAATTGGGGACAAAAGCACCAATTAGACCAAGTATGAGACAAATAATTATGCAAGTTATTAAACATTTTTCAATTTTTTTTTTTTTTTTTTATGAATATGAAATAATTTGTATGATTTATTTACTTAAAGACCCCTGATATTTTAAGTTCACATTTCAATAATTTAACAACTCATTTGCATGTTCACAGTTCTCTGATGTCAGATATTGGGCATGCAAGTAAAATAAAATGGTTTTTTTTGTGTTCAGCTGTTTTATTTAGATTTTTTTTTTAATTTGTTTTAATTTTGCATTTTTATTATTTAATTAATCATTAGCTTTTCATCAACTCGTGAACCCTAAGCAGTTCTTTCGTTAACCCTAGTTTGGGAAACCCTTGTGTAATGTCAAGTTTAATGCATTTCTTGTTGTTGATAAAGAATGGAATGTATTTTCTTTCTTTTTTTATTATCAAAATGGTACACAATAATCTAAAAGTAATCAAAAATCAGAATAGATTAACTAAAACAAGTAATCTAATAGATTACATTATGGATCATGTAATTTGTAATCAGTAACAGATAACAAATTGTAAGTAATCTACCCAGCACCGTGGTTACATCTCTTTAATGACTTATGGTTTGCTTGTGTTTTGTCGTTCTCTGTTGTAGAGGATGACGGAGTTCAGGCCCCTCTGCCAGTGTCTCTGGCCACTCATTCACTAGCTGCGGCCCAGGCTGCAGCTGCGCAGGCGGCCACCATCGCACAGGTAGCTGCGCTGGAGCAGCTGCGGGACAAGCTAGAGTCCGGTGAGCCCCCGGAGAAGAAGATTGCACTACCACTGGAGGACCACCAGCGGCTACTGCAGAGAGCCCTTCAGCACAACCTGCTGGCCATGACGGCACAGATCCCCATGAACATCCGCATCAACAACCAAGGTACTGACACCTTAACATTCTGGCCTACTGATGGACCAAATATGGCGATAGTAGGGATATGCAGTCACATTTTAAAACCGACTAGAACAGCATTTTTCAATGGTGATGGTATCGTCCCCCAGTGGAGGCGCTGGAAGCTATTTTTTTTTAAAGTGGGGCATTTGTTTAAGGCAAGTGTTTGGCCAAGATTCACAATGAGATGAGCTGAAACATTGTAACTACTTGCAAAAGAACATGGTTTGCAACATTCTAACTCAGTGTTACACTGGACGCATCAAAGCAAACATTCAAAATCTATTTGTTACGATAATTATCGCAATATAATTTTCCTTGATAACATGATAACAAGTGTTTGATAAATGTTCGATATAATGTTTATGCACCAGAAGCGAAACAAAACAGCACTACTCATTTAATCCGCGCCACACAGAGCATTTATCCGCTCGGCTCAAAGTTCAAACAGCAGCGCAGCACGAACTCACTAGAGCAGATGCGTTTACGCGCTGACCAGTCTTAAGCAGCACTGTGAGATCCAGTGTGAAGCACTTGAATTTAGTGAAAGACATACTTGATTTAAACAAGTTTAAAGCCAGATGAAACCGAACCTGACAGACAGGAGAATCACTGTGCGCAATGATACAGTCCGAAGGCTTTTCAGTCTGCAAATCGCCATCATTTACCATGGATTTACCGTAGTAACACTAACTGCACCATGGTATTGTGGCAGCAATGGGGGATATTCATACAGAACATTATTAATGTAGACGTATTAAAGGAGTAATGGAATATAATTACAGTATTTTTTTATGATCAAGCTATAGCGTTTGTGCATTTACACTAAATGTATTTAGACTACTGTTTTTTTTTATAAAAATACCTAGAAACCATGTAGTTACATTTTTACCATGGTATTAAGGTGCTACATGTGTGGTTTTAACTGTGATTGTAGTGATCTAAATGTATGCTTCTAAATGGTTAATTGTAATAAAACTCAAACAGTTAGAGTAATTAAAAATCACCATATAAAAATGTTTTTTTTTTTGTTTTGTTTTTTTTCAGTTTTTTACAAATGTTACTGTTTTTGATAATGAGCATAAATTTACATCTTCTAAATGGTTAATTGTAATAAAACTCAAACAGTTAGAGTAATTAAAAATCACCATATAAAAATGTTTTTTTTTTTGTTTTTGTTTTTTTCAATTTTTTACAAATGTTACTGTTTTTGATAATGAGCATAAATTTGCATCTGCAAATTTTTGAATTTTTAGTTTTGGGTGAAAGTTTCTCTTTAAGACGCCTTGAAACTTTAGGCAGGTTCATCTGACTCTACACACTTAGCCTACATAGAGTTGCCTCAATTTACATTTTTACTGTGGTTTTATCCTTTCCCATAAACACCGACCTGAGAAAAAAACACCTTTTTATAAAATTGCTGATGTTTCAGGGAAACCTGCGTGTGGAATATCCAACCTTTGGTTCCTGAGGTCATGAAATGAACTCAGTGTGTTTTCTAGTACAGCGCTGCAAAGCCCCTCTTACATCATCTTTCACTGGTGCCAGCTATTTTGTAGGAAAGGGTGTGAAACTACTACCACAGCCAGACTAAATTACTGGCATGTGGTAAGTGTAATTTACAGATCAGTAGTTGTCAGGTGGAGATGTCAGCAAGCTTCTCAAGGGTGAGTCATTGCAGCTCTCATTATCCCACAGTAGTACTCTAGTAGTTCTTAATAAACACTGTTCTAATGAATGAGGAAACGGGGTGTTTAGAAGTGCTCTGATTAGATCTTATCAGAACTGTATAGTTGCGTTGATGTTATTTACTTTAAAGAATGCTGGCATGAGGGGTCTGACTCATTAGGAGACTGGAGGTGTTGACCGCAATGACAAAAAGGCAAGGCGAATAGTTCTGCAGTGTGGGAAACCCCAGCCTCCACACAGCATGACTTCCTTTTCTTGGTTAGAGTTGTTAAGTACTAGAGGTTTCGGCTGGTGTATTTTATCGGAAGATGAATAAGAGACCAAATCAATTCCCCCTGCCACAGCATGTGAACTCTTTTCATTGTTTTTAACTATTGAAATGGCTAAGGCAGCGCCCCCTGCTGGAATGATTCTGTCTGAATGCCCACAGATGAGTACTAGTAGCTTTGTGAGCACCATTATTAATAATTCTCACACTTTGGGCTAGTGGTTTGTACAAACCCCTATCATATGTATTAATTGTTGGCACCTAAAGGGATAGCTCAGCCAAACAATGAAGATTCTGTCATCATTTACTCCACTTGTTCCAAATCTGTATGAGTTTGCTCACATTTGCATTAATATTAGCCCTTTTTTAAATAATGATATTATTATAATGTAATATAATATATAATAATAATAATACAATTTTTTTTTTTTATAATTATAATTAGAACATATTTTGCCAAGTGTGTTTTTGAGATAGTACCTAGGTTGTTTACAAACATGGTAAAATCGCCAGTAGGTGGCTGCAAGTTCATGTCTTAACGAGTGACTCACTCATTCAAAAGATTTGTTCAAAACAGCTGATTCATTTAGAAACGAAGCTAGTGACTTTTTTTTATGAATGGATCACTGACTCAAAAGATTTGTTCAAAAAGATTTGCTCAGTAACAAAACACTCTGTGTTGATCGGAGACGCACAAATGTTATGTTTTATTTATTATTGTACATTATTCTAAGTGCTTTATACAGTACAGATTGTGTCAAAGCAGCTTAACAGAGATAAATAGGAAATGGCAGAATCAATTATGGAAACTCAATTGTGAAGGCAGTAAAGCAGCTCTGTAAGACAATAGTGTAATTTAGCTCAAGTCAGTTCAGAATTGTATTTGAATTGTGATCATCGTGATCACAGAGCATAATCGTCTGTATTTGCCTGCAGGTTATTTATCCTGAAAACATTTCGTTTTTATTTGCCATTTGCATTGTCTTGTATTGGTAACAAGCTTTCATGGCTGCAGTTGCCAGAGTTCAAGAGTTTAAATCCCCCAATCAAAGCTTTTTTTCATAAATCAGTACATTTTGTACCCAGTGGTTTATTTAGGGTATGTTTTCTTAGAGTAACCATTTTCACTAATTTACATTTGTATAGATTTTTACACAGAGACGACGGTATCATTTTTAAAATCTTGCACTTTGAAACCTCTTTTCAAAAGTTAGCATGTTCAGGCATTTTAAATAAATGTCCAAATGCATCAAAAGTTTTCTGTTTTTAGTAAATATAAATGATGTTGTGTAAACAACTCCTTAATCTCCCAACCTGGCAACCACGAGTACGTGCTCTCTCTTCATTATGGGAAAAGCATTGATGCACTGAAAACACGGACAAACATGTAAATTGGAGTTTAGCGATCTCTATTGAAATAAAAGCGTAATACAGCCATACTATGTTCTCCTCTTGATTTGTGCTTAAGTGAAATGCAATAATTCTGATGATATGTTAAAAAAAGTAAAATGACAAAAAACTGTGTTTTCATTTTTTGCAAATTAATTAACTGTTTAACCGTTATAGTACAGCCTCATTAACCAGGTGGTTTTAATGTTGTGAAGTGAATAACACCTCATGCTACTCTTTGAGAAGAGGTGTGCTATTACTTTTCCAAAGTGTGGGGAGAAAAAAAAAGACTTAAACTCTATTTTTTCCCCTTTCTATCAGAAAGCAGGCAGGACTCCGCCATGAACCTGAACACCAATGGCCTAAACAGCATCAGCATGTCGTTGGAGCTCAACGGAGTCGTCTACACCGGTGAGGAGCTGACAGATTCTTTCTGTTCAAGTTCCCCTCGTTTCAATTGTGACTAAACGTCCTGTTTTCTCACAATAGGTGTTCTCTTCGCCCAGGCTGCGGCACCGACCTCATCTAACAAATCTTCTGCAGGCAACAGCGGGCCTCAATCAGTTCACCACACACCTACCTCATCCTCTTCCAACAATCAATCACCTTAGCACCTCACACTCTTCCTCGGTGCAAAACCAAAGCCAAAAAACCTCAGTTACTACACAAGATATGCCAAAAAAAACAGTGCAGGAATAACTGAATCATTCTCAACTTGAAGTATACTAGCTCAGGTCTTTTATTTACACTCTCCTTTGTTCAGGAGTCAAAGAAAATCTAAAATAACAACAAGAGTTTATTATAAAGATAATGATGTATATGCAAAACCTGTGAATAATTTATTTCTCTTTCTGTGAGCACACTGTCTGGCGTTAACAAGGCAGTAGGATTCTGCTTTTTAGGGTTTTATAGTCTCTGACTGACAAAAGCTTTTTGTCTAAACCATAACAATAGTATTATTGTTATAACGTGTGATGCAAACAGCTTAAGGGTCTGAACTAATAATATATTGTAGATTTTATTTTCTCTGTGTATGTATCTGCAGTGCCTTGTGAAGGTTTTTCCTTAGCACAGTTTGAAAGTGCTGTTGACAGGCCAACGTCTTCAGCACGAACACAATACAAAGTGCGTTATTGTCAGAAGTTGTTTTTGTGAGTATTCAGCCGTTTGGTTTCCTAACTCAGAGCTTCATATCACAGTCAGTGAAGATTCAGGATAGTTCAGCCAAAAAATCAAAACACCCTCAAGTTGTTTCAGACCTGTATGAACAGAAGAACAACATCTTCTTTTGTTTCCAACTGAAGAAATTAATACAAGTTTGGAGGGTGAGTAAATGACAGAATGTTCATTTTTGGGTGAGCTGTCTCTTTAAGGAGCTGATTCACACATGCATTTGTAGCCTGTTTGCATCTTCACGACTGCTGGCAAACTCTGGAGGTCACGTTCTCAATGAGCCTCGCAAAAGTTGCTGAGGTATTGCAGAGTCCGTACGTTCCTGGACCTGCCAAGGCCCCCAAACGTATTTTGGCCAATAGTTGCTCTAAAATACAAGTGGAAAGAGATCAGCAGTTTGGCTGAAAATAATTGCAGTTTGACTCCAAGCATGACAGTGTAATAGGTTCATTTTAAGATCTGAATACTACACTAACTGGAGATCTTTAGTTTGCCGTTTTAGCTTAATCGAATGCAGTTTTGAGGGGTCCAACGATGCAGCCGTTTCTGGTTATGTACAGCGCAAATCAGAGGAAATTCTAATTGCAATGGCATGTTTCGAAAGTGTCTAGAGAAAAATTAAATATTCTCTTCTGAAGGGATTTGAAGGATGTGGCTTCCTGTGTTTAACAGCTCAAACCCTTCGAGGTTGTTTTAAATCATCTCATCAACTCTTCCTGGTCAGTCTTTTATCAACATGTAGCTACAGTTTATGAATTATGTCAAGCTCTGCTAGCATTACACTGTATGCAAGGTGAAAATACCCGCATGGAGAGGTGAAATGTTCGCTCATAAGAAGTCGAATCATTATTTGGAGTTTGATAGGCGAGAGATGCTCCAGGCTTTATGGAAATGGGGTTTCTTAAACTGAAAGCCTTATTTTGATCTTGGAGGTACAACTTGAGCAGCTTGAAGGTAAATTCCTCGATCCTTCATTTGGGATCAAGCTTGCAGCCTTTGCTTTCGCAGCCGAGATCCTTAACCGTCAAACTGTTAATGCATATAACTCTTTGTTATTCAGTTGCTGTAAAGAAAACAGTCTAGAAAATCTTACCGTTTCTGTCTGTATTGTACAATATTGTAGTTTTTTCCTGTTTAGAAAAGGACACCTCATTTTAACACACTTCAAAGTCATTACTGCCAAAATCTCTACCTCAAAAACTCATTTATGAGCTAAGATCTGTTTGCAAGCTTTGCCAGTTCATCACTTTTCACATGGATCTACTGGCTGTGAGGAAGAACAGGGCATATATATATATATATATATATATATATATATATACATACACTTTTATTCGGTGAATTTGACTTCTTAATGTATTAGCATCTGTTCTCGTTTCATCTGCAAGCCCGCATTTTACAATCAAATCCCTCAACTTTTAAGTGACCCACTGATGTATAACCGTAGATCTTTATTGTAATAACCTTTCCCTAGTGTGTTTTGTTTTGTTTTTCTTGGAAACGATACTGTTACCACACAGAGTAAGACAGATACACGTAACACCCGTTTCAAGCTGTTGGTATCCAGGTCTGTTTTTACTCTGCTGTATGCCTTAACGTATGCAAATTTGAATATAGCATGCTAATGTAGTCAACTTTATTGCAAGGACAACCAAATTGCTGTACAATAAACCTTCGCTGTTATTGCAGGATGCCTTATTCTTTGATAATTCTTTGTTTGCTTTTGTCTGTGCAGATCTTAACGTTACACTAAAATCAAGTCATTCACTTTTCCATTTCTTAGACAGCTGTGAAGTTTAGGTTTTACGTTACAAGGCATTTGTCGTCTTCTCAGGAAATACACTTCTACCTCTAGTTTCACAGATATGTTCAACTTAGTGCTGCGGTCACAGTGCATGTAACATTTATTTTACCCTTTTATAATGGTAATGCTAAATGTTTCCACATTGGCAAGTATATGATTTGTTTTCTAAATATCCCTTTCTTTTGTGAGTGCTTTTGAGTTTTGGCTTGCTTAGGTTGAATCTGAAATTGCTCCGAGACCAGGTTTTGGTGCTTTGTGTATCACTGCGCACCAATTCCACTTTTTACAATTTTTGATTTGCGTAGTGACAACCTCTTGACTGCTTCTATTAGAGGTGAAGGACAAAGACATCCTAACCTATTTAATCTAATCTCTGTTTGTGTGGATAATTAACTTTATTTTGAAAAGAAATATATCGATATGTAACTGGGGGGTGGATATGGGATCCAAAGAATGTCACATAAGTGCTGTTATGGCCAGATTATTATGGATTGAAAATATAATCTATATTTTGGGAAATCGTCACACCACAACTGTACCTCTCTCAGTGTGAATGCTGATAAGCCAGATAATGACAAAAAAAACACCTCAACATGCGTTCAAAAACAAATGTAGTTCTAGTAGATGGACTTGAATTTTTCTTTTTTTAACCAAAGTTATTTGCATTTTTTTATATGTTGTAATGTAAAGGTAATTCCGGAGCTCCAGTTTGGGTGTGTCTGTTTTCTGTTGCGTTCAGTACGTTATTGCCTTGTTTAAAAAACAAAGTAAAAAAAAAAGTCAATGTTGATGAGTTTTGTTGTTTCAGAGTTTGCAAAATGTACTCATGACGTTTACATTTTATAATTGTCAAGCATCCGATTTTTCAGTGTTTGGTTTTTCAAAAATGAATATCTTCAGCTGTAAACAGACACTGAATACAATAAAGTGTAATTCTGACAAAATGTTAGTGGTTCTTGATTCATTACGGTTTAAGATTTTAGTAAAACCCTGTATATTGTAGAAACATGTTAACACAATACTTTTCCACAGTACATAAAAAGTGTTTTTTGTTCAGAAAGAGAACTTTTAGAGGAGGTGCAGGAGGCGTTTTTTGTTATTATTAAATCTAAATGGCATTGATATATTAAAATGCAGTTTTTTTGGGGTATTGTAACCATATACACTTATATGCACAATTTTATTTTTTTTAATTATAGCAAATGTAACACCCCACAGAACTTTTTTTTTTGTCATAATTGTAAACTTTATGAAATATCATTTAACAAATCACTTAGTATATGTAAATGAGCATGAATTTGGCCCTATTTATTAATTATTGACTGTTTAGTAACGAAAAGTTTTTTTTTTTTTTTTTTTAAATCCTAATATTTTTTTTGGTTAAAGTTATTGCAGAAGGTCAAAATTGTTAAATCATGTAAGTACCTGTACTTATCTAGGATTGTTCACTGAAAAATTAAGTCAAATATAGCCTAAATTCCAAATTCTATTAAGAAAGTTGAGCATTTAATGTGGTAATGATGGCGGCCTGACTGATTCATCTCTACCAAGTTGTCCAACTGAAAACGTTATTGCAAAGAGGGAAAATAGATCCAGTTTCTGGACATTTCTCAGTGCTGTCAGAAACCTAGCACTGACACTTGTTTTAGCCTATTAAAAACATTCCACTGAAAATTAGAATATCATACAATTAGTACAGCATTACAATTAATACAGCAATTGTTTGTCGCCCTAATTTTACATTAATAAATGACGTGTTTCTGCTATTAAACGATGTTTTGACCTTATTGGTGTTTTAATAACTCTGTAAACAAAATGTGACTTCCGCATCACGGAAGTCATTGTTTTTTGAAGCTCCGCCCACCGCATCGAGCGTGTGTTCTGATTGGCTCGATTGAGTTTTTTTCATCAGTTTGGTTTAAACCTAAACTGAGGTAAGTCCGTCTGGAAACAGCGAGAGAAATCTAATGGACCAAATTCATGGAGATAAACACGACGCTTGAACATTATTCCTACTAGTTTAAAGTCGTGAAGACGTGTTTTAATCGGGGCTCCAGCAAAATGAGACTTCGCTCGAGAAATATTTTAAACGAAAACCCGACGACACCGTGCCGCCGCCGTCGAGCCGCTCCGGAGACACCGGGACCGCAGACCCAGGTCAGTCTTTCTGTCTTGAACACGACATATGAAAAGCAAACAAAACTGTGTGTGTGTGGTATGACTGAGCGTGTGATTCCGTATTGCGAATGATCTGCACAGGCCTGGTTAGCATGATGCTAACCGATTTAAAGCAAGAGATCCGGTGAGCGGAATTAAACAACGTTACTATATTATTTTTTTATTAAAATATCACAAATCACCATTAAAAAAAACATGTTGTTCATATAAATAATACTAATTTGTGTATTTCTGGTGAGTGTCGCAGTGCTGCCTCAGCTCTTTATGGGCGGGGCGAATTCTCAGCGTAGCCAATAAGACTTTAGTATTTTTGAATGGCATGTGAGAAGTTGTATCTCGGCCAATCAGCGTCTCTGTGTATTGTCCCTGAAGGAGCACATGTATCTTGTAGTTACTGTTGTTTAAAACGCAAAGTAAATTGATAAATTATTTTCTTTGTAAGATATTCGAAGGTAGGCATTTTTAATCGCACATTTTTTATCAAAAATACATTTCTTAATGACAGGTTTATTAACTGCCTGGTTTGTTCGCCCTTAAGGATGAAGTTATAGTTCTTCAAGACCGCTTGACTCTGGACCCTGATGATGTCCCAACAGTAGCCAAACGTCCACGAAGGATGAGAAAAGCTTTATCAACTGTTGACAATAAAGGTACATCACTGAATTTGACAAATGTTATTTAAGAGTCTACTAATGATGATACGGTATTTAAAAAATATCATGCTCCCCTTTGTATTTTTAGAGTCAGATTTCAAGACCCCAGTCCGTCACCTCCGGGAAAGGCATTCGTCATTGAATCCTGCTGCTCGAAGCCTCTACTCTCCTTCAGTGCACTTTCTCACACCCCCACGAGACAGTCAGTGCATTTAAACAATTCTGATCAGCAAATATTAGCATGGAGCCCAGTACATGACATATACAAGAAAAAAAAATGTAATCATTTAAGTTAAATCAAGGCCACGTTGTACTAATTTGTTCCTCATTGTAATTTTGTTAATTCAGGGATATGTACATTAGCTGTGTCAGTTACATTTACAGCTAAATTGAGGCAGATACAGTTAAACTTAAAATACAGACATTTTTATTAGTTTAGGTTAGGTTTAAAAAAAAACAAATTATTTCAAGTAACATTTTTTATGGTTTCAGTTTTTTAGCCATAATATCCCTGGCAGTTAAAAAAAATCTATAATGAACTCCAGTTCAAAACACAACATATTCCCACACTACAGATATCTTAAAAGCTTTAACAGTGACATGTACTACATATAAACCAGATTTGCATAAACCTAAACTCAAAGAATCACTTTTATGTTACATTTTCTCTGCTCTTCCCTACAGTACAAATCCATTTGAAGTGTCTGACCTTTATTATGAAACATTTTGTCTGTACTCTATGGTTTTAAATTAGATTTGGCACAGACCTTTAGACTGTTCTGAATCTGTGTGCTGTATTTTTCCTAGTTAATCTGACTTATATAATTACTGGATCAGACTTCCAAACAGAGTTCCTTTGAGGGGGTGATAACTTTTATACACCAACCCCCCTGTCTTATTGCTATCATGTTTTTGCATCTACTTGATAGGATTTGCTAGTGATGTATTAGCAACATGCTCTGACTGATTTGTCATCTGGTTTTGGGTTGTTGTAACAGCCGTTGTTTATTTTAATAGGAGAGCAGCCAAACACAAGTCCCATGTTCAGCCCTGAACACTGTGTGTTTGGCTACAGTGCTGCCAGCCCTTTTTCAGAGGATGAAGAGAATGAAGAAGTGTTCAGCCCGTGAGTCTCTTCTACAAAGGATTTCATTTTGTGCACTTCAGACTGATTGAGAAGGTTTCATTTGAAATGTTTGTCCCCCCCCCCTCCAGTTTTACGTTTATTAAGAACATTCCGAATCGTTCACAACAGTCCAGGCCTGTCTCAGCAGTGCGGGACATTCCGCCAAAGACGAGGAGCACACCTGCTGCTACCCTGGTGCTTGATTTGGTACGTTATCTTCCTAATAGCCCGCTCATTTCAACATTTTGGTCAGAATGTGACTGAACTGATTGAATTTGCATGCAGTGTGGTGACTGGAAACTAATGACAGGGCCATTAAATCAGATGGGCCGTTAATGCTCCCCCACTGAGAGATGCTTTAACAATCATGTTCTGTTCTCATTGATTGGATTGAGGTTTAGAGGCGACTGGTTTGTGATTCTTTGTATTTTATTTTTGTACGATTCTAGGATGAAACCCTCGTGTTCAGTTCACTCAATGTGATTCATGATGCAGAAT